CCAACCATCCGAATCATTCCTTAATAAACGCAACGAACTTGTTTCCTCTTGTCGCAATAGATGCAAAACACTCCTATGTAATTTGTAACCATACACCTTATTTAATACTCTAACTTCCGTCATCTTGCATTTAAGCTTTAAGCATTTAAGTATTTTATTCATTAAATCCCCTGAAGAGTGAGCAATCACGAAACAGGCTTGTCGGGATGAATCTGTAGTTTTGTGATTTTTCTCAACCCCACTACACATATTTACGCTCTGCTCTCGGGCATCGAGCACTGTTTTATACGGAAAATCATCAAATATAAACTTCTTATATATACATATATATATTAACAAAAATGGGTAATACTATGATAAATCTTTCAGTTGAAAGCCGAAACATGGCATGTAATATATTTCATTTATTACTATTAAACTATGCATTGTGGGAATGCATCTCTCACTGATGCACTTGTGAACAGTGATTTCACATCAAAAGACACTTGTACATAATTGTCACAATGTTTAAAAGATGAATTTATTTGTTTTAATATCATCTTCTATATATTTTTGCCATTGAAATTTTCAGCACAAAGCATGGTAGCTGTGAGATTCCCGCGTAACTAAAATCTCTTGCATTGTTGAGTTATATCAACAAGTTATTTTTTAACATTCTACCAATCAGCGCCCGTTTTTTACGAGGTAATTTATAGTACGTGTTATGAAATAAACTTTCAACGACACAGACGCAGATTGGTTGAATGTTCGAAAAAAGTGTTGATGCAAATTTTTCATGCACAAGACTTCACTCTCGCAAAAATCTCGCGGGTTACGTTGTTTTCGCGGTAAATCCCAATGGCGAAATTATGCTATTAAAAACGACGAATTTACCATTTTAATGTTGGTTTTAAAGGGTTATTTGGTAAACAAAACAGAAAACATAATTACATCTTTCTGTTTAGTAATACAGAAAGATCACAAAAGATTTGGGAAAACTCAAACTTGCTTGGAAGTACTTGCACTTTGTGCTCGTGCTTGCCACGTAGTTTCTCATTTCTCACAAAATTTCTTGCGCGTTTCTAGAACAGCTATAACTTTATAGAAACTCGAGTGATGTTTTCTATTTCTTAATTATAATAGGCAACTTATTAGGCTACTTAGCTTTAAACAATTCTCATGAAATTTAGAGTATAACTTAGAAAACAAATGAAGAGTAATTAAAGAAAGATATATGCCTTGAAAAATTTGCTATTTTTGTCGGGTCAATGTTCATTTCATTTAAAAAAATTGGCCATCAGATTTCTGCATTAAGTGCTTTTAATTTTCTTGTAAGAACGAGCAATTTTTTCTATACTTTTATAGAGCGCTTACGATCACATTAACCATTTTGATGTGGAAGACATCAAGGTAAAAATGCCTTACGTTTAGGAAGTATGGACATGTAAAGATGTGAGACCATTTAACAGTTTGATAAGAAGCAGAACCTAATTTAGATTCCATTTTTTGCGTCTATTGTGAAAATTTTATTTAAAAAAATACGATTGATTTGGTGTTTTTAGTTGTGCGATATTGATGTACTAGCCCTAACCTTATCCTAAGTTCTAACCTTTTTCTTCCCAATTTTTTTTTGACCTATGAGTTTTGGATTGCTTCATTGATGCTGTTCTATGGCAACGCTGAGAGACAAAGGATCAAAAGACTGACTCCATGGCAAAATCTTTAGTTATTTTTAGTCAAAGAAATGTTGGCCAAAATTTTGCTGCAACCACCCGTTTCGCTCATTCTAAATGGGTATTACTCAGAGTTCTAAATTTTAGAATGCGGAAGATAGCCAATTTAGATTGCTTTCTGTGCTATCTAAAGGCTATGGTTGTCTCTCCTGACCTCAATATCTCTGGACACTGTTAGTGTGAGACAGACAGAAAATGGCGCTTAGTAGGAGCGGCAATTGCAGGGTAAAACCATACTCTTTGGACTATGAAGACATACTCTGCGGCTGGGAAGCTTAGTAGGAAAAATATTTCTCTCTCTCCTAATGTTGTTCTTCCAGTTCGTACGATCGATACATTTGAAGGCTTTCAAGAAAACCTTAAAGAAGGTACAAATAATTTACGTGGAATTGGATCTCGATATGAAAGGAGGAGAGTGAATAAAGCGAATCCTGGAAGTGTTGCAAGATAATTTAGTAAAGTCGTACATCGAAAATTGTGCCATGTTACCAGGACAACTCTGCGTAAAATGCGTAGAAGATGGGATACCAGCAACAAAAGCAGAAATTAGATGTCGTGATTGCGGTCACGGACAGTTCCACTGTTTTGAGTGTGCGGAATCCCTTCATCGAACAAGAAATGTTTTCCATTTTGTTGAAGTATGGAAGGTAAGTTTAATTCTTTCTGGCGGCACAGATCAATCCCTATAAAATTTTCCTGCCAGCAAAACATAAACAAGTTAAGTCGTTTATTAGAAGGCAATTATAGGTGATTATTTCCAAAAGTCAATTCTTCAGATGAAATATTTTTGCTCTTTACATTTGGAATTTGGCTTGTTAAGCTCTAGTATTCATCAAATGCCTGCAATTTTTTACAACCATGTCTCAACTCTAAAGTAACTTAATCTGTAGTATTTTGTTAAAACTATCAATCATTTTCAAGAAGGATATGCTGCTATATGCTGTGCATGGTGCCTTATATAATGTATACATGTTCTGATGCTTAAATAACTACTCTTTAGACTGATTGTGAAATGTTTGTTCCATTACTTTTTGGTGGTATATTACGTGACAGTCAGCATGCTAATTGCTCTTGAATGAATGAATGAGTGAAAATCTTTATTTTGACACGCTGGCCTTGTCAACTGGGGTTGATTTCCACAAGGGGCGTGCTTTTGTTCAAAAACAATTACAAAATTTACTAAGAAATAAATTATCTACAGAAGAGAAGTTTAAATATTTACAGAGTTTAGCTTATTCCATCAGTTACATGTTAAACTAAATCATAAAATGCAAGCAGCAATTTTCTTTTGAAAAAGTGACACGCTTTTGCTATTTCTGATTTCTGCTGGAATTGAATTCCAAACAGAAGCCCCATCATACGCAAAGCTTTTCTTCAAGGAGTTAGTACTAGGCATAGGAACATTTAGACAACTGGTAATATTGCGTAGATTGTAATCAGTGATGTCTTTTTTATAGGTAAACAATCTAGTAAGTGAATTTGGTCCAGCATTTTTTAATAATTTAAACATCAGCTTTGCTTTAGCTTTTTTTCTAAGTATTTCAAGAGGTTCCCACTTCAATTCTTGTAATGCGTTACAATAATCGACATCAATGCCCATGCTTATGATAATTTTTGCAGCTCTATTTTGAAGTTTTTGAAGTCTTTTGGACTGAGTTTCCCCCAATACACCCCAAACTTCACAGCAATATGTGAAGTAAGGATGTACGAGGGCATTATAAATAGAGATAAGTGTTTGTTTGTCTGTGTATTGCTTTAATTTTCTAAGGGCGGAGATACCGGCTGCTACTTTTTTGCAAATTTTATCAGTGTTACTCCTCCAAGATAAGTGTTGGTCAATTATTAAACCCAAACTTTCGTACTCATAAATTCTATTTATAACGTAATTGCCAATTGCAATATGCAAATTAGAAGAAAAACATTCTTGATCATTTGTTTCGAGCCTATGATCAAATATTCTGTCTTGGTTGAATTCAAACTAAGTTTGTTTGCTATCAACCACTTTTCAAGATTATTCAAGTCAGAGTTTACTGTCTTTTCTAGTTCAACTATATCATTATTTGAAGCAGTTATGCTAGTATCATCAGCAAACATTTTTGGTTTACATTGCTCTAAGCATGAGGGTAAGTCATTTATATATATTAAGAAAAATAACGCACCTAGAATAGAGCCCTGGGGAACTCCACAGGAGAGGAGTTGTTGGGATTAAATAAAATTTTTGATTTGGCATCTTTGAGTTCGCTTTGACAGATAGGATTCAATTAGGTTGCAGGCTTGTCCTTTAATTCCATACAACTCAAGTTTTCTTAATAAAATTTTGTGGTCAACAGTATCAAAAGCCTTTTTTAGATCAATTTGGACTACAAGGTTGAGCAGCCTTTTATCCATGTTTGTGTACCAATCATTCGTACAGTCAATTAAGGCAGTTGTTGTTGAATGTGATTTTCTGAAACCAAATTGACAATCACTTAGGATTTCAGATTTAGAAAAGTAGTTGTAGAGTTGATCGTAAAGTATACGTTCAATGATTTTACTGACGACTGGAAGAATTGAAATTGTTTTATAGTTTCCAGGCAAGTTTCGGTGTCCATTTTTGTAAAGAGGTATAATTCTTGCTGTTTTCCATTCATCTGGGAAGACAGACAAAGTTATGCACTGATTGAAAATATAGGTTAATGTTTCGGATATGATAGGTGCAGCTAGTTTTAAAATTTTACATGATATTCCATCACAACCTGTTGCCTTATTTGCCGAAAGTCCACAAATGAGATGGTACACATTATGGACAGTAGTTGGCCGAAAGGCAGCAAACTCTGATTTAGTTAAATTTATATAATTTTCAAAATTAGTTTTTGTGTTGTCTATTTCTTCAGCAAGTTTTGGGCCAATATTAGAAAAATATGTATTAAGGCCCTCTGGTATGCTTTCTGAAGTTGTAAAAGTATTGTCATTGATAATCAATTCATTTATAACTGTTTCTTTCTTTTGTTTTCCAAATAAATTGTTAATAGTTTTCCAGGCCTGTTTAGGGTTTTGTTTTTCACCAACAATCTTTGAAGAGTAGTACTCTTTTTTTGCATATTTTAGTTTAATATTAACTTTATTCCTGCTTTTCCTGTAACACAACCAGTCTGTTTCTAAATTTGTTTTCATTGCCTTGTGTTTCAAATAATCTCGATTTTTCATCAGTTCTTTTATGTCCCTTGTCAAACATGGAAGATTTTTTCCTCGAATCTTTTTATTTTGAATGGGTGCATATTTGTCAAAAATCTCAATCTTCAACACAACCACGTACTATAATATGTGTGGATGGAAAAGGTACAGTATGGCAACAATGACAGTTATTTTGACTTTGACTACATGTAAATGTGTATATGTTAGTAATACTGTTAAGTATTAGCTTCATTTAGGCCAATAATTTCTATTTTAATTATTTGCATATCAATTAATCCAATTTTTAATCTCATACAAAATTTAGGTTGGCAGCATTTAAAAATTGTTGAATTCTGTCAGTGTATTAAGGATGCTGAAAAACTAATTAAACTCCAGCTGTTTCCAGGCTCATCTTCTAAACCCAAAATTGCATTTCACTTTGACTTCATGGATTTTTCTGAAAAATTCTTGCTCGAGAGCCATGTATCCTTGCACAAATTTTGCATCACTGTTGAAATTGAATATCCTGAAATGCTACCTTGACTGGTATGTATTTCTCATAAACCTGAATTGGGCACCCATATGATAGTCTACCCATCAAATAGTGGAAATAGATGGGTTGTACTTTGCAAAAAATTTTATTGAATGACTGTTATTTACAAACAACATAAATAATGCGTATTTGCCTCAAATAAAGTAAGAGCACATTCAAATTGTACATGAAGTTTCCTTTGCTGTTATGACTTTGTGTATTCAACCTTATTTTATTTTTGAAACAAATGCACAAGTTTACTAGGTGTTCATTTTATTCTTGTTAAGGTCAAAAACATGTATGTGTTAAACAATGGATCATTCGATGAATACAGATATGTTATGTGTTATAAAACAAAATTCTATTTACAGTTATTGTAGACCTAATAGTTAGATTATATGTGTAGATTAGTACAGTCTAACCTGTTTTAAGCACACACCATTGGACAACAGACTAGTGTCAGCTTAATGAAAGTGTCAGCTTGATTGAGGTTTCATCATTATACTTTCATCATTATTAGCTATATGAGATTAAGTTTTGGATTTTGCACAGTATCTGCTTAGTACAAGGTCATTTGATACAAAAGGTTTGACTGTATATATTATATCATTTAAGAATTTTATTTTTTTGTCAGATCTTTCAAACACCAAGTCAGATCATTAAAGTTCATACAGAAAGACCTGATTGATTATAGATATTGCCCTCTTTGCCCACAACTCAGTATTTGATATTTTTTTTCTACTATTTGCTTTGCGAACTATTTTAAATTATATGTTTTTTTGTCACATATATTATCAGAACATTTAAAGTTGTTGTGAAATATGAAGTGTTACATGTTTACCATAAAATTCGTTTCATTTTATTAAAGAGCTTTGTTTGCTTTAGACTGGTGAGATAGGTGTGGCCATTCATTCCATAGATGCTTGCTTTGGTCTAACTCGCAAAAAGTTGGCAGGGAATAGTTTTGCTGTCCAAAACCATGGCTGCCTAATATTTGCTGATCAGGATGAAGTAGATGATTTTGTTGATCATTATAGCAAGACTAATAACAAAGTAGTAGAGGTAATTATTGCATAATGAAGGACTTTGAAGCCTATTCAAAAGTATTCTGTGAAGGGAGGGTTGAATAATTTGAAAACAAACTTTATATGTAGTCCAATGAAAAGAAATGGCAAAGCCAGCACTTTTTTACTTTTACACTGCAAATATTTTTGTATTCAATCACTGGAAAAACAATGAATGGATTTGATTTTCTAAAGAAATTATTAACAATTTTGCTGACAAATTTGCATCGTTAATTAACAATAAGAGATTGGGCAGGATTCGCCCCTGAAAAAAGTGGGTCTATGCTTCATGCAGGTCCATGGGCCCTCATACATACGTAAGTAGCTACGTGGATTTAAAATCAAAATTACAAACAACCAATTTTTTTCTTTTCCTTTAATTTATCATGTTTATACATGGTCTATGTCTCGATTGTGTAAACTGTCATGTTTATTTTTACAGTGATAAAACAATTGTTATGTATGCTCTAATCTATAATGTGCTCCACCTTATTTTAGAGTTGTCAGATATTTAAGGCAGGAGAAGTTACAGAAGCACTTCACTCCAAAGGAAAAATTCAACTGTTTGATGAAAAAGGAGTGTTAAGTAGTGGTTGCATTAGGCATTCACACGCTGGACGATTTTTCAGCACTAAATATGGGGAAAGGTTAGTGTCTTAGCCTTGGTTTGCACGTAATTATCAATATTGTTGATCTTTGATGAGGTGGTATGGACAACAAATCGTCGGGTTATAATTTCTTTTCCTGTGTCAATTTTGAAATAAAATGACAAAGGACAAAACGATTCTGTGCTAACGAGATTTATTATTATTCTTTAATAATATTTAGTGTCTTATTATTAATATTCAGAATTTCGTATTCGCTGTTCCTAATCCAAAGCATTTTAAAAGATGCTGACCAAAGTCCTGGTGTTGATTTAAAAATAATGTATGATATTGGATGTGTATTATCATCACATTTAAAGGTATCTTAATGTTGGCATGTATGATGTGGGACAAGTTCATTCACCAACTAAACTTTGAATAAATTGGTACCGTTCTAGGCAAACAAGAGGCATGACATTTTGTCAAAAGTGTCATTTTCGGTGCCGATATTTCATTGTTATGTACACAAGGCTTCATGCCAGGTAATGAATAAAGCTTTGTACCTGGTAATGACAGGGATGGATTAAGAGGCGAGATAACGGAGGAATGTGCTCTCCTCCAACCTTGATTAGTAGAGATGGATGACGAGTGGCAGTTTCCCTAAGAAATTTATGTATATCAAACCATCAAGCGATCGTAATTGGGGTTTATGGAGCACAATTTCAAAATTTCCAATCATTGTATATAAGTAACAAAATTTAACGAAAAATGTCTTGCATGTTACGGCAACAAGCAACCACTAGAATCTTATCCAAACTAGAGCACCCCCTCCCTCCAGAAAAGTACATCCCTAGGTAATGATGTAGCGATTGAAGAAAGACAATCTTTCCTGCTCTGGTTTCTTCCTTGATAAAAAGCCGCCGTATGTAAAATATTATTTTTTCATGTCTTCAAAAAAACAGGTCAAGTTCAGTCCTAGAAGGCTCGATGGTTTTGGTCTTACAGATTGTGAGGCTATTGAAAGGCTCTGGGCTTACCTTCGTGGGTTCTCAGCAATTACTAAGGAGATGTCTGCCAGTAGAAGAGTAGATCTTTTGACAGACGCGCTTCTTCACTTATCTCGAAGAAATTTTAGCAATGCAGGTGCTTGAATATTGTCATTGCTTTATGTGTAACTATGTGTTGACACAATGAAAATGTTTTTGTTTGTTTGTTGCGCCTTAATCGTTTTAATTTTTTGCATATGATTTGTTTCAGGAAAATCATTAACGTCGAAGCTTTCTGTGGCCGAAAAGTATTTAAGATTTCTTTTTGCCTAACCAAACTCTCAATTCAATTTGCATCCAAGGAAATACGAATTTATTTTGTTTGTTAGTGACGTACGATCCTGAAATTGTTTGTCAGTGGGAGGCCATAGAGAAGGAAATTATGTCAAGAGTCAACCCAGGAATATAATGTCATTCATGGCAAATAGTTTCATTCTTAACAAATCAGTCTGTAGGATTTAAAGACGTACTTTTTAAATACAGAACATAAAGAAACCACGGAGAACTGGAAAGTGACGTACGTTCAAAAGGTACTGCATTTTAAACAACTAAGGTAGGTTTTTTAATGTACTAAACTGGCTGTTTCTCTATAATACATGCCTATTGACGTTTTAATATTTCTTTTGAGCCTAATTGGTGAATTATTAAATTCTTAGTGCTACATCATTCGGATGTTTTGAAGAAAAACATCAGATAACATCTGAAGATTACTCAATTTATCAGATGTCGAAAGAACTATACCAGTATTTATAAATGTGTCAAAGCAATATTTTGCGTTAAAGTTTTTTTTTACATACGCGCAAAATTTATGTAAACAGGTTTCGAAAGATTTTAAAAGATATTGAACGAAAGCATTCTGTAAAAGAAAGATGGAAACCTGGTCATCCTAATTTTAACGTCGTTGCATTGCAAGTCATACAAAGAGAAAGAAGTATGAAGGTACTGTAATACACTGTAAATTTCGAATACTTGTAACCTAAGCTATGTTACCATATCTGTCTTTTGTTGTTCTTGTAAATGTTAATTTTGTATTCATTTTACTTGTTTAGATGGTCAGAAAATTGCCACTCGCTTGTCCAGGCAAATCACCAAAATCACGAACAAGATGAATTTAACAATTGAGAAACACAATGCTGCCATTGATTCTCTTCGTGATTTTATAAACCATTTTCCCGATCGTCTGACATTTGACAAATCGAAAGATCCTACATCAGACCTTTATGAGGGATTTGAGTCTGGTGAGGATGACATTCTAGGGGAAGCCTCGGTCCCAGTATACACAAAGAGGAAGGCTATTGAAATGTACTTAATCCTAAAATGATGTGACGAGGAAGAGAAACTTTTAAACTTGGAAAGACAAAGGCTTCTATTGTATTACACCAATCTTAGCTCAAAAATTGAGGAAGCACTTGCTGATCATGGTGATTTGAGGAGCGATGAATTCATGCTTGGTTCAAAGCATGAACTGATAAGATTTAAAACCAAATTGCGGAATGAGTTGTTCAGCTTGAAGAAAAGTTTTGAGCTTCCACTTGGAGAAACTTTTCTTCTCCAGGCTGAGATTGTCAACTTAACCAATGATGTCAACATTCCCAATGAATCTGAAAGCTCACCGTATGAGGAATCCGATACTGAAGATGAAAATATCGAAGAGCTCTCAGAAGTGGACAGTGACATTGAATAGACGACATAGCTACTATTCGTAAACTAATAGCTACTTTTTATGTACTTATTATGTAATTTAGTTGTTTACGTATCTAGTATAATAACTGATATCACGCAAACATTTGGTTTTGTGACGTCATGTTAGTGCACAGTCATTTTCTCTTCTTCTGTACAACACCGGAAGTTTTGGCCCGTCGTTGAATTGTGAGAGAAATATGTTTTTTATTATTTATCAATGTCTTACAAGTAAGAGTTTATATGCGACATATATCCCAACCCATTAGCTATGTCTGCCCAAACCAATTCATCTAAAATTGTGAGCATTCATATCATATATAAAATAGCCGAGACGTATCCAAAGCTTGGTCAGTTGATCAACGGGGTCTGGGGCGAGTTTTTGAAAACACCGAATTTCATGATTTGTCCGTCTAAATCAACCAATTTGTTTTTTAACGTTATAAGCCTTCCCATGTTTCATATTTTGCTCGAGATTAACTCAAAACAGATGACTAACTTTACCGATGTTCAAGCTAACGAAACGATGCTGACGAGAGAGTGCGGTTTGGTTCGGCACCCTTGATGGCTCTGCCGCTGTAAGAGGAAAATGAGAAATGAAACCGAATACGTGTTTGGATTGAAATAATATAAAACTCAAAATTATTAATCTACGTTACTGAGCACTGTTGCACATTTCAAAGAACACTTAAGCCATTTTACAGATCGAACACTCTTGTCATGTTGCAAAACTGCCGTAATCATTGCACGTATTACGTATCACGCATTCTTGCTGTGAGCTTCAAATATTCTCTACGCAATACCAACCCTCCCTACAATCACAATCTAAACTAACATTCTGATGTTAAGAAAAGAACGTGATCGGTTTTGGGGTTTTTTTTTATTATAAGATGCTACATACTCTGCTACTTATAAGATCCATGCTATAAGGGTCGTTGTACTAAATAAAAAAATCAATATTTTATTTGAAACATAATTTGTTAAAAAAATTTAAAGCCACAACTGTCAACTATTTGCTGTAACAAAACATTCCTACTGGCTACTGCATGCTTTTGTGTAACAATCACATATGCTCGATGATATTGCATTATGCGGTGCTGTTTATTTCACAAAAAGCACCGTAAAGTGAAAATGTCGACGCAGCGGAATTCGAATTTCGAAATGTTAAAAGTGGAGTTCATTTATGATATATATGTTACTTTACTTTGAGTGTCCGTTGGTACCGTAAATGAACTTATTAACGGCCAGGGCGTTTAATCAATTCTAGATGTTGTGGTGCAGCGAAATGAAAAGAGAGACGTGTATATTAGTTGTTTGTGTGAACAAATATAACAAAACTAAGACAAACTAAACTTCTTATAAGCCAAATTGTACCACTATAATTAATATATCATAAAGGTAATGTTGTGAAGGTGGTGGGTGTCTATCGAGGACGGGACTTTATTAGTAAGTGGCGTTGCAAGGAGAGGGGTGGGGCGTTTAATATGTATAAGGTGTTAATTTAATATAGGGCATTTATTAGATCGGTTACGTCACATATGCCCATATATCATCTGAGAAATACAATTTGGCTTATGCAAACCAATGAGACCTTTAGGAAAACTTTTATAGCAGATCAATGCAAGCAGGAGACCGAAGGTCTTGGGTTGCACGATTGCATCTGCTCGAGTTCCCACAAACGGCTTCAAAGTTTGCATAAGCCAGTGCAATGGTGCAAACACAAAAAACAGTTTTACCTCTTGTATACAATGATACGAAACAATAATTCGAAACAGACAAATTTACATCGATATGCAAATTTTTTTTGATTAATAGATTGATTTGATTGGTTGAGTTGAAATCGGTTTGCACAGGCAAATGCACACACGGCTATAGACCAATCACCGAGCGGGTACTATTGTTTTTATTTTATAAATGGACAATGGACATTAATCACATATGCTGCATACTCTTATATACTGTACTGCCCGTCCATATTAAAGCCCATTTATGTCATTTGAGTTGAAGCAATGCCGAAAAAAGATGCATCAAGAAGAAAACATAAACCGTCTCACTTTCGAGAAGCTCGTGCAAATTGGTGAGAATGTCTTCACTTGTGGTGTTTTTTGTCAACCGGAATCCGTGAACGCAGTCGCTTGTGTCCTTAATCGTTATATATGACTTTATTATAGGTTGTCAACTATGTTTCATCAAGATTGCTTATGTCGCGTAAAATGCTCAGATGTTCTAAAAGTGTTGAGAAATAAATATAAGAGTATATCTGTTCGAGAGTATGGGTTCATTGTACGAAAGTGTTTTCCTACGGTGAAGCGAATTCATAGCAACCATGTCTACTTTTATTCTGGCATTAGCCACATCGACGCCATTGAAAATGTTATCCAATGTCATACGGAAAATGGTATAGTTTAAAATAGCTAGCGCAGTCCCTAATTAACATAAATTTTAGAGGCACACGAAAAGAATAATTTGAGGAAGGGCTTAATTTTTTGGTGTTAATTGTATATAATATTGAGAACCATTTTTGGTGGGGATGATTTTCCATCTTGAGAAGAACTATCTTGGACATGGAGCAAACTTTATTTTCTTGTCTCATTTCATAGATTGCTCAACTGAGAATAAAATGTTATGTGGATTACCTGATTGCATGAGTATCAATTGTTCGGAATTGCTACGTTCCTTATCAAGGAAGCCTACATATTCATTCCCAATTGGGAATTTTGATAGCATGGAGTTATGTTGGTTTAGAGGAATGGCAGTTGCAGTGAGGAAATCTGAGTTTGATGTCATTGATGAAGCAAGAACTATTCTTAACTTACCATCTCATTCATGTCTTCCAATCTTAATTGGTATTTGTCGGGATAAAAAGCCATTCATTTTAATAGCAAAATTGTATGGTCATATAGGAACTGGAGTGTACATGTCCTTGGAAGGATTGTGCTATACTCATGGAATCACTTTTGCCGAGTGGATATCTTTATTAATTAAGATATGGGAAGGCATAGAGTTGTTGCATTCTTGTGGATTTGCTCATGGAGGTCTTGGAGTTCAAAATATTATTGTTGTGAAACAAAGAGAAAAAAGTTTGTGTGCCAGTATTTCTGAATATTAATGAAGTCAAAGCTTTATGTGGAAGTATTGACAACAACTTAAGTCAGCAAGACTGCTTAGACTTTGGCATCTTGCTACATAAAGTAACTACTCCCCTGCAATAAAAGAAACATGTGCGTTACGCCAGCAAGAGAAATTAACTCAATTGTCCAAAGCTATTTCTTCTGGTTGCAATGCATAGTCAATAGCAAGACGTTTAAAACATATTGCACAAACATAAATATTTTTTACTAATGCATAAGTATCTCAATTATTACAGTTATTTTTACAAATATGATATCTTATTTGCCCATCCAGTGAATAGTGCATGTCTTTGTGTAGGTGAAAGGTAGAACCCCCCCTCAAAAAAAATTATTATTCTATGTAATGTAGTTTTTACTTTTGGGCTTTAATCTTCGAAATTTTAATTATAGTATTAGACATTCTGCATGGCTTATATGTGAATAAAAGAATATTACCTTTTAAAAAAAATGTTCAATCCAACT